ACTGGTTCGCTGAGAAACTGCATCATGACGTCCCCTCCCCTTACTGGAATAGGCCCAGAGTGTGCCTGAAAGCTAAGCGGGAGTGGAAGTATTATATCCAACTGCCCATCGATTCTTATCGAAAATTTTATGGAAACGGGACGATTCATGGAGTATTTGCTGAAATTTGTCCCATGGACGAGCGCCGCAATGTCATCCGTTCGCCAACTCAGTCACTGGGAATTCGATTTTCGATTGAAAGGAAGTTCGAACGCCCTATTTGGCTTAGTACTGTCATTCAGTCATTCTTCTAGTACGACAAGTCCCCTGGTCCTACTCGATGAACACCCGAATGCAAAACGTCAGCAAAACTCGCCATAGACAAGATTCCCCGTTGTCCGATTGCCAATCGCCCCGCCCCTTTCGCAAAGGCTGCACAAAGTTTCGCAGGGCGAACACGCGGTCAATCAATTCAATGGTTGGCCGTTCACGTACATGGGCGCTTCTTCTTCGTCGTCGTAGTGATTATTGTAAGTCCTTGATTTATTTCGCCGCAAGTTCGTTTCGAATTCGATTGCTCACTATCGGCTGTGGTCTCGTGCCATGCTGTAACACATGTAAAGCGCAGTTCGCGGGGAATAAACTATGTGAACATCCACTTTATTTATTTCACCTTAACACATTGACGACATTGAGACGCGGTTACGCGTCTCACCCTTGTCATCCCTTTTTCTAGCGTATGCGGGGATTCTTCCCAATTTGCTTGCTCTATTCTATGGATTACAACATAACATAACTGTAAACGACATGGGTCACGGTATGATCAAATATGCTCCAGTTTAGCAGAAGTTTTTTAAGCACAGCGGAATTGGCAGCTCGGTTCATCCTCGTTTTCTTCCTATTCTCATGAACATGTCAGTGAGAAAAGGGTAGTGAAAGTAAATACAAACTTAAAGGGATAGAAAAATATATGTTTCACTTGGCACATCCACATCGAAAATAGTTTTGGCATCCACTACAGAGAAAAGGACTGAAATTCCCTTTTCATTACCATTACACGTTCTTTTGATCGGATTTCGCTACTATATCTCGATTATCTTCTACGCATTGAATATTGCTGAAATGGTTTTGTACCAGTGATGCTTTCCAGAGCTTATCATTCAGTATTTACTACTACTAGGTGCGGCCCGCACTCGCAAGATCGTCCCTGTCCCACGTGGCCAAAAAATCTAAACGGCAGCTGTCGCTCAAGCTGTGTTCAGACTCATTATAGGTTGGGCCAGTTAGTTTTTGTGTTAAGGAAAAATTGCGAACTTGGTTGTTTAAAACCAAAGGGAAATCGATTTATGTCAGAGGCATCATTGAATTCTGTCCAGTGTTTATCGCGTTTGCATGGGGCGATTGAATTTCCTGTTTACTCTCGTGAACACTGGCGTTGGCCGATTATACCTTACCCACATTTGCATTTGCATTTGCAGTATTATAATTTTGAACTGACTCGAGCAGTCTTTGCAGTCACACACTGATTTCGTAGTATCTATGATTGAAGCTCTCGTTCAATATTGCTCGACATATATGGGTATACCAGCGCGCGATAGTAGTAGCTTAATTTAACACGTTGACGACAGCATGACGCGCATGCGTCAGATTTTCACCCGGATGGGGCTCGTTTTGATCGGTTTATTTGGCATGTTTCATATTTCAAAACTGTCTGGATGCATAATCGTTATCCGGAAAACTGTGCACCAATTAACAGTGGTGGAATTGTTGAAGGAGTAACGTCTATTTTGAAAATAATAAACAAAAAGTTGTCGAGATGCGCGCACAACGGGCTGTCGTCAACGTGTTAAGGGGCAGATGGTATCATTTTCGGTAAGGTGGAAGTACTGCATAGCGTGTCAATGTGAGAAATTGTTTCCGAATGAACCTGTGTTGGTTTTATGGCAGCCTTGGAGAACTCCACTTCGCACGACTGTTTCTAACTCCTAATTCGTTTCCTTTTTAATAGAAGTTTCGCTTGACGCCGTTCGGCAATGAGTCGATGGTCAGTTGGCTCTGCACCTGGGAGGTAGGTCTGCAATTATTCGTAGTGGAGTAGCGTTAGAGGCAAACTCTGGATGTTTCTCACATATCTTCATGATTTTTCTAGTTATTGGTTCCGGCTATGATAGTCTTTTCATTTTTGAATCATATCTTCACAATTGGGTACTCCATTTTTATAACAGTTATGAAATCTTCCCTTTTCACCCACCATAAGCTAGCACAGTAGAGACTGTAGAAAAAGGAGACACTACGTTTTGTGCATGTTTACGCACTATTCGGAGTTATAGCGTGAAACCGGTGTACGGTGCTCGTTATCCTCCACTACAACACGACGTACCGTGTGGGAGTCCTAGCAAGGATCTCGCCAAGCAGTCAAAATTTCAAGATTACGAGAACAGGTTCGTCTACGCAAGTGGAAAAGTGCTTATTTTGAAACTTTAAATTGCCGAAATTTGGAGCAACCAGACCTGTCATCCGCTAAACTTTGTAATGTTTGCAAGTGTGTCCGGATGCATGGGATACTCGTGTCCTCGTCGATGATGCCCTTGCGTCAGCATCTGCTGCTCGCGTACTTGCAGCTCATGCAGCTGGAAAAACCAGAGAAGAGGTGAGCAGTTTGTACACTACCTATTTGTTTTTCTACGTGTATAGCCATTCTTGTCATTTTCTACTTACACAGCCACTGAGACTTATAATCCTAATCAAGGGCTTCGCTGTTTTTCCCCTAGGTAAAGGTACAAAAGATTCAGATTCGTTTGTTTTCAACGACACCATTTCTTACTGGTTTACGGACTACTTGATTTTTCCTCAATGGTCCTGCCGCGATGGCTAGAGCACAGACGATTAGAGACCCTAGGACTAAGCCTTGGAGAGGAGAGGGACCCGCGAGAGAGCGCAGAGGCGGTTTAAAGGGCTGAGTTCAAGTAGTCCGTCGACCCTTCTTACTACCAGCACATGCTCATTCTACGCACATGCATACAGTAAAGATAGGCCCTTAAACCAGTCTTTTTGGGAAGACAAAGAAAATTGAAGGGATTTCTGTTCCTGGACTGGGGAAGGATAGCATACGACTTCTCATCGTACTGGCAGAAATAAATGAATGAGACTGTTGGACAGTTGTAAACAGCAATCCTTGATTTGTCACCTAGTCTAGCTCCATTTAGGCCTAATGAAACTCATGCAAGTGATCTTTTTTCATGAGGGAGTTCGGCTGCGCCAATGCGGTGTGAATAGGGAGTTTAAATCGTCGCTCTGTTGCTTTCCTTATTATTTCATTGAATATATTCAAAAACTATCTCAATTATGAAGCGATAATGATTAGAAATCTAGTCACTACATGAGCAAAGTTGCCAGAATATGGGTCATTCTTCGACAAATTTTGGCAGGCGTTGACAGGGAATAATAGCCTCGAAACACTTCTGCCTTGGTCCTTGCTAAAGAAAGTAACGTACGAACGATGGAAGCTCACATTTCTTGTTATGAATATCTCATACGGACATGTCATGCGACGTAGTTCTGGTCTTACTCTCTCAGTTTTTTGAGACGTTCTGTACCAACATACCTCAGTAAAAATTTCTTAATAGTGAGCCACACTACGTATAATCATGCGAGCTTGCAAGACTCCTTTACAAGTATTCATGTTATTCAGTTAGTGTTTTTTCTTTTGTTTGGTGTAGCTCGATAGTTTTTTTTTCTCAGGTGATAATGCCTCCTGTCAACCCGGCTCCAACAAAAAATGGACGCGTTCAAGCATTACAGCGACTTGCGATTCAGAAAGGTTCGTATGGATATTGCTTCATTTCTGTCCAAATCTTTTCAGAAACGTTAGGCTAGTTCAGCACTCCTAGTAATCTTCACGTGAGCTAAACTCAGCATTGTTTCGAAAAGTTTCCAATTCTTTAGATCCCTTGCCTTCTACAATTACCAGTGCGCCTGTACAAAATCCAAATCCTATCTATCCAAAACTACCGGAGATATCTGGTGATCAAGTCCGTATAACGGTCGCTGCGGTGAATGGATCACAACCAGGTAACATTTTTTTAAGAATGAGCAGCGTACTTGCGCGTCAGAAATACCGCTGTAGCTTGGTTTGGTTTTTTAATAACACTCGCGTTGTTAAGGCGGTGAGCGCGATCAGACCAGATTTGAACGCCTTCGTCGTCTGTTTTCGGCAGGAAAGTCGAACGGGAGAAACTCTCCTCCAGCTGATATTGATATGGAAAAGTTAAGAAAGGATTGCTGGATGGGAATTCCTCACAAACTGCGTCCCCATGCATGGCGTCTGCTTTCGGTAAGGTCTTGTTTTCGATTTTGTTTTTCAGTCTTCTTCGGTTTTTTTTTTTCTGTTGGATAGTCCAATTTGCTGAGGTTGCGAACTGGGTCGATGATCCAGTTCGTACAGCTTCTGTTTAGCAAGCTGTTTTGAAAGCGCATGTTTTCGTAATCTAGAGAGGTTCCTAGATTTATTCGTAATCCATGGTATCCGTCCTGTTTTATTTTTACCTCGATTTATGGTAGAGCTCTTCATTTTCATCATGGAGTACTACTCGCATATTTCTTATAAACAAACTTCCAGGGATATCTTCCTACTAATTATGAGCGACGCGAAGCCACCCTGGCGAGTAAAAGAGAGCAGTACTGGCACTACGTCGAGCAATACTTCCACCAAAGATTTGATGACCAAAATAACGATACATTCAGACAGGTGCCTATTTGAATGAATTGATCACGTTAGGTTTTTTTCAGTCTAATTTATTTTTTCAGATCCATATTGACATACCGCGAATGTGTCCGTTAATTCCACTCTTCCAGCAAAAATTGGTGCAAGAGGTACAGAAATTTTTCTCTTGCGGTTACGTCAATCTTTGTTTTATACTGCATTATGGAGAATCAGGGCAATGCTTTCAGATGTTTGAAAGAATATTGTATATTTGGGCGATCCGACATCCCGGTAGCGGTTATGTGCAAGGAATAAATGATCTAGTCACCCCGTTTTTTGTGGTGTTCATATCAGAATTCATTCCACAGGACGTAGAGGCGAGTTATTTTTGATTCATCAGTCTACTCTACTTTTTGTGTACAGAATATGCCCAATTTTTTTTTGTTTAGTTCTTAATGCTTCTGTCTTTAAATATAATATGCTAAGTTGTTTTCTCATGAGCCTTTAGCAGAGGCTCACCGAGAAAACACAAGATAACAGTTGTAAATTCTCCAAAAAAGACAGCAATAATGACAATGATGACATATTTGCTAGTCAATCTCTGAAAACATTAGGATCCACTATTTTTTAGCAGACTTGACCGCCAAGCGTTTACAAATAATGACAGCGATAGGGGGACAGATAATATTTTTCGCCAGCTTTAAATACTCACTACTGGCTCTAAAGGTGAAGCTCTTTGCACGCAAATTAGTTTTAGGACGTGTCAACGAAATCTTCATGACCCCTCCTCTAGTTCTGGAATATGTCAGCTTGAAGACACTGGAAGAACCAGAGTCCACACGTGCTCTGCACCAATTTATGAACCAAACAAAGATCAAAAACTTCTGCGTCTCATTTCTAAAGATGTCATATTCAAAATTATTGATTCCTAATAGCCGCCTCTGGTATTCCTTGGAAATCAAATCGTAAAAACCACAATTTGATTAACTATCTCCAGCGCGAAAATTATTCTGAACATTTTAAATTGCCTAAACGTGTTTTCTTTGAAGGATTGAATACTAATAGTATGCCTTGTATGGGAACTTGTTTAAGGTGGGATCATTTGATGTTTCCCAACTTACACGTGAACAGTGCGAATTGGTGGAGGCGGATTCATTTTGGTGTGCTTCGGCATTACTTGATTCAATTCATGATAACTACACATTCGCTCAGCCTGGCATCCAGCGGAAGGTTCTGCAACTCAAGCATCTTATGAGCAGAGTTGATCGTGAGTTGTCATTCCGTGCTACAAGCTGCAAGCGCTTAATAACTAGTCACTCATTCCTCTTTTTTCTTACCTCTAAGAGACTTCTTTTCAGGACCTCTACATCTGCACTTAGAATCAAATGGAATCGAATATTTACAGTTTTCTTTCCGATGGATGAATAACTTGCTAATGAGGGAAATTCCTCTTCGTGCTACGATTAGGCTGTGGGACACATATCTGGTATGTTTTCAGAACAGTTTTTCGATTTTAAGGCATAATCGAAAAAATCAGCGGAATCGAGACTTTGCTTTGACATGTTTCCTCCTTTGGATCTTTTTTAATTTGTAGAGCGAGCCTGATGGATTCTCGCAGTTCCATAGCTATGTCTGCGCAGCGTTTCTTCGAACATGGTCGCGACAACTGCAGGCAGAACGTGATTTCCAGGTCAGACATAAGCTCGCTACGCTTGCTCTTAATGACGCTTTGAGTAGCGAAAGTAGCGTTGCGATATTACACATTTTGCAGGGGATTATGATTCTACTCCAAAATTTACCAACTCAGTGTTGGGGAGATCGAGAAATATGCGAGTTGACAGCCGATGCTTTCTCCTTAATGTCCGTTTTCGATGGTGCAAGGCGGCATCTCTCTAGTCCTGCAGATTTGTAAATGGTGGAACTGTTGTTGTATTCTGGGACGCGTCTTGAATGGCACTATTTTGAATAAGGATCGTAAACTCTATCGTCCTCAAACATGTGGCCTTGATTCTGCTGTTGTACGAGTTCTCAAATTGGATGCTACTAAATGAAACGAGACTTCGCATCTACCTGCAAAATAGTACTGCAGTGCCTGAGCGGCCCCTCCCATCCTTTTTTCCAGTGCAGTTGTAGTTAGAGTTTCACTCGGTATAACTTATTACATATGATTTGTGTTCATAAAACCCGGCTGTGATTTCATCTCTAGTTGTAGTAATATTCAGTTCATGTTGTATTTATTAGTGCAGTGTTCAAAGGCAATCAGTAAGGAAAAACTGGGGCAAAGGATGTATGCGTTTGTATCTGCAAAGTTATAGCTATTGAAACTGTATATTTTTGGGATTTTGTTCAATTGGATGAGGAGCAGTGAAAATCTTGCTAATTCAACCGTGATTGTTTCTGATTTCCAGCCATTTTACAGGCGTTGTGTAGTCTGGATGGGAATTACGATGTTCTTTCATGTCTATTTTGTTCCGCATAGAATTGCATAATCTTTATTGATTGCTGTCACTTACATGCTTTTTATCACTGTTGACAAAATCTGACGAAAAAAAAACAATCTGACCACAACAAAAACAACCGGCTGCCCGTGTGAGGGTAGTGAAACCAATCGCAGGAGATCACAAGTTTTCTTAAGGCAACAGGCATCGGCCGATCACCAGCTGATGTGTCTGGAATGTGTCGTTAATGGCGTTAGGGTATTACTCGAGATGAAAAAGTGTACAGAATCAAATCAGCCAATTCATTTCCCAAAATCGATTACATAAATATCTGTCTCCCGCTGCCACATAGTTATGTCGTCTTGCAGACTAGCAATACACTTGGCACCAAATAGCAAAAAGTATCAAAAATTCGCGATGTTGTTTTCTTCAAACCTTTTGCCACGTGTGAAGTTTGCTACGCCTTTTCCGGCTGCGGGGAACAGTGCATCTACGTGCGTAATTACCCTAATTTCCGGTAGATAAGCCCATACCGATATCACTAAAAACACCTCCGCTGGTGCAGTGCACTTGCGTACATCTAGAGACAACCGTAACTTGCCCATAGGGGTAATTCGATATGCTGATTACGAAAACGACATTCATTTTTAGCGCGGCGCCATCTGGCGCAGGGTCAACCGTCCGTTCGAACTGTTCGAACGAAGGGGTCGCATTTTGGTCGGAAGGGGGTCGCAATTTCGAGGACTGCCAGCCACAGGCGCGTGCGTGGCGTATCCGAGGGCAAGAATTGTTTGTGCAGACCGCA